TCACTAAAGTCTCTGTTTTCTGTCCTTTTTAGTTGCTGTTTTCTGTGGTTTTTGACGGTTTTCTGATATTTCAGTTGTTATTCTGTTCTTGGCTGCTTTCTGTTCGGGTTTACTTTTGTTTTCAGTCACTGTTTTCTGCATTTTTTGACAGTTTTCAGCTGTTTTCTGCATTTTTGACAGTTTTTAGCTGTTTTCTGATCTCTCTAACTGCTTTCAGTCGCTGTGTTCTGTGGTTCTTGTCAGCTTTCAGCGGCTTTCTGATCTCTTCTCGGTCTTCTAACCAAACTCGGCTCATGAATGCGTGAACGCCGAGATGCGTCCGGCGCTCGGCTCTCTGGGACGCCGAGCGTCTCATCGGGAGGAAACTCGAGTTTGGGTCAACTTTTATCTCTGCAGCAGAAGCTAAAAGGTTTGAGTGTAGCTGGGAGCCGAGGCCGGCCTCCGGAGGGACTCGCTCTGTTGACGGCATCAACACTCAGCCCGAGTCACACGCCGGCTTCGACCCTCTTTCCTCCGGCGGCGCCATGAAATATTCACGCCGGCCGCTGATGACAATTACGCAACGTTTAATACGAGCAGCTCAGTTTCTCATGAAAAAGAGACGCTGCATGAAGTCGGTGATATTTATATAATCCAGCAGATGACGACCTGATTTAGACGAAACCCTCAAAGTAAAGGTCGACCCTTCAAAATAAAACCACCGTTAAAGTAAATGATTTCTTCTTCACATTAATTCAAAGCGTTCAAACAGCAGAAACACCAGCTGATGGTAGAAAAACCAGAAACAAGCAGCGAGAAACGACAACACAGATAAAACACTGAAGTAACAGAAAACGAACGGGAGCCTCAAAGAGCAGCGACAGGAAACAGCAAAACAAAAGTAAACAGGAAGTGAACACGTGAGTAAACAGGAAGTGAGCTGACGGACAACAGTGACTGAAGACTTTGGCTAAAGTGACTGAAAGCAAAAGTAAATAATGACGGGAAACAACAGAAAACAGCTGAACAGCTGGACGATGACGATAAACGAATAGAAAAGAAAAGAAAATGACAGAAAAGACTTAAAACTAAAGTAAACAAACTGGAAACGAAGGTAAACTGATTTTTTGGGGAAAATGACAGAATAATCGGTGCATACGACACAAAACAGGAAACAGAGACTAAAAACCGACTCGAACCAATGACTGGAAACGAAGATAAACTGATTTTTTTCATAAAATGACATGAACACCATCAAAAGGCAGCGGCGGCCATTTTGCTAAACTTTTCTGATTTAAGTTTAGATTTGATTCATTTTAAGCGCTCGTTCTGTTTTTATTGTTTGTCGCTGAAACATTTTGGTGATTTTTTTTTAAGACAACACGATTCAGACCTGTAGTTCTTGTTCGGTTCCAGAACGTGGCTGACCAGGTGACCCGACTCACCTGGTTTCCGGCGGACCGGCCGTTTCTTGCCGCTGCAGAAGCGGACTTTGCTGAAGACGCTGAAGATGTGGCGCTCGCACAGAGACCGCGGGTCCTTGCTGGGACTCGAGCGCCTCTTGTTGGTGGCGACCTTGTCGCTGTTGGACTCGCGGGCCTGGCGCTTCTGCCGGATCAGGGAGCTGGCGATGGCCGCCGCCATCTCCCCGACGGGGCGGGCGGAGCCACACAGCAGCCAATTACGGGCTCCGGATCCGACGACGCGACTGAGGAGGCTTCAGTCCAGGACGGGACTCGAAGGCCTTCGGGGGAGAGTCCTTATGGATCCATGACGGACGCCGAAGATCCAAATTCAGAACACCAGAAGATCCTTGGATTCATCAAAAGTTAAGAACGTCTCGTGAACTTTGGTTCCTCCAGCGGCGGCATTCCTTCAAGGAGACGAAGCTGTGAAGGTTTTTAGATGAATCAGCTCAAAACTACGGAGAACAAGCAGTTAGTCTCTGATACGCTCACATGTTGGGAGAAACCACGACGGAAACGTTGAGCCCAAACGTCCCAAAGACCCAAAGTCCAGAGTCCCGCCTGGTCGAGTCCATCAGAGACACGGCTGGAGTTCACGCAGGACGTTTATCTAATTATCACTAATTGATTCTTTCTGTGACCGACGCAGCAGCATGTTGGAGTAAAAAGAAAAGCCTTCTGGGAGATTCCCTCATCAGCTCCATCTCAGGTCGACGCACATGTCTGCAGCACATTCACCAAAAACAAAAACCCAGAACGTCTTCCCGTCCGTCCGGATCCCCTCGAGTCTGAACGGCGTGTCCGGCCACAAACTTTCCAGAAAACGAGTTGCGACTAATCCGGAGAATGCAGCGGCGGAGCGGCAGGCGATCCGCGGCGCTGCTGCGACTCCATTCTGCTCTATTTTCCCTCCGCTCGTCCTCGCTGAGCGCTGCTGAGTGGAGCGAGGCTGAGAGGGAGGAGAGGGAGGCAGCAGCCAGTGATGGAGCGACGGGAGGTGGAGGTGTGGAAGAAGGAGATCCTAAAAATACGCCGCCTGATGTTCCCACGTCGACCACTTTACCTCCATCAGCGCGACACCGACGGCACACAGAGAAGAATAAAAGAACCGGCTCGGTGTCGATCCGGGTTTCTTCTTCTTCTTGTGTCACATCAAACACGGTTCAGGTTTGCTGGAGGTTTGATGGTTTAACAGCCGAACACGAGCCACCGGAGGCTTAGAACCGCGTTATGTTTAAATAAATCACAGAAATGACGACGTTTATCGGCCACAAACCGTGAAAACTAAAAGAATGGTTGGATTTTTAGCTTTATGGTTGGAAACAGTGACTGAAAACAAAAGGAAATAACTGAAAACGACAAAAAACAGCGACAGAAACAACAGTTAGCAATGACGGAACGTAAACTAAACGTTAAGTTTAACAGCAACTAAACACTACAGAAGACAGCGACTGAAAAAAAGGGAAACAACAACTGAAAATGACAAAACAGACAGAAACTGACATAAAACAGCAGCTGAAAGCAAAGAGCATCTGAAAACAAACAGCATCTGAAAACAAACAGCGACTGAAACGACAGAAAACAACTAAAACAAGTAAACAGGAACCGAAAAAGGTAGAAAACTGTGATTTTAGAAACTAAAAACTAAAGTAAATAGCGACCGAAGACATAGAAACAACAGTAAACAGTGACTAAAAACAAGTGAATACAAAAACTAAAAAAAAGTAAACAGAGACTGAAACTGCTAACATTCATCTCCACTGCGCCGACATGTACAGACCAGACTTCATTCAAAAAATGACCAATTTTAGACCTCATTTAATTTCGTCTTTGTGTTGCTGCACAAACATGTAACATTTATTTTAAATTATCATGATTTACTTCCTTGTTTATATTTTATTATTTCTTGTTTTACTTATATACAATTATTTAATAAATGGATTATTTTTAATTTTTAGATTCTTGTTTTTGCAGACGTAACAAGACCAGACTCCATTCAAAATTTGACTAATTTTAGACCTCATTGTTGTCTGTTGCTGCAAAAACATTCACCAGAATGTATTTAAAATGTTCAGAATTTAAGAGTTTACTTTATTAATGTATTCTTTTTATTTTATTTCTATATATATTTATTTAACATATTGATTATTTTTAATTTTTAGTTTCTAAACCAGACTTCATTCAAAATTTGACCAATTTTAGACTTCATTTAATTTCCTGTTTCATTATTTCTTATTTTATTTACATGCATGTATTTAATATATTGATTATTTTCCATTTTTAGCTCCTTGTCAGCTCACAGACGTCTTCACACCAAACCTCGTGTCAAACATCTCCTCTTCCAGACCTCACATCAGCAGCAGCTCCTGTGTTTTCTACTGAACCAGGGTCCATTTAGGATCCGCATCAGAATAAGAGCTCAGCGTTCAGACGTTACATAAACGCTGCAGCGGCGCTTTGAGCAGCTGTCAGAGCTGCAGGAACGGACGCAGCAGCAGCAGCAATGATTCACTCACTCCTGAGCCTCCAGGTGGGACGACAGGAGCCGGGAAACCGAGCCGACACCGACACGAGCTGATCTGAGTGCTTGTGGCGGTCCAGAACCAGAAACGCGTCCAGCGACTGATTAATCTGATTATTTAAATATGAATTTTACATCGTTTTTCAAAACTGGAAAATGTAAATTAAGGTGAATTGACAGATGTTCATCTTTCCCACGGTCCCTGAACTCCTCACAGACAACCA